TTATCTCTCCCTCCCTCTCTCTTTCTCTCTCTCTCTCTCTCTCTCTTTCTCTCTCTCCTTCCCTCCCTCCCTCTTTCTCTTTCTCTCTCCCTCCCTCCCTCCCTCTCTTTCTCTTTCTCTCTCTCTTTCTCTCTCCTTCCCTCCCTCCCTCTCTTTCTCTCTCTCTCTTTCTCTCTCTCTCTCCTTCCCTCCCTCCATCTTTCTCTTTCTCTCTCCCTCCCTCCCTCCCTCCCTCTCTTTCTCTTTCTCTCTTCTTTCGCTCGATCCTTCCTCGTCCCTCCCTCTCTGTCTCTCTCTCTCTTTCTCTCTCTCTCTCCTTCCCCTCCCTCCCTCCTTTCTCTCTCTCTCTCTCTTTCTCTCTCCCTCCCTCTCTTTCTCCCTCCCTCCCTCTCTTTCTCTCTCCCTCCCTCTCTTTCTCTCTTTTTCTCTCTCTCTCTTTCTCTCTCTCTTTCTCTCTCTCTCTGTCTCTCCCTCCCTCCCTCCTTCCCTCTCTCTCTCTCTTCACCATTAAACCTCTGCAGCTTCGTGACCTTCTCAGAGGACTCTTTATTTATTTAGTACGAAACTTCTATGTCACCTATCTCTCCAAGGTGGTGGCTTCCAGTAAAATGCCATGCGGAATATTTAAAACAGCAAATAGAAACCAGACTCAGAAATGGGGTGTTACAACCAGGAACCTGGGGAGCAAGGCCCTTGAAAACCAAAAGAGATGCCAAACCCTAAATCAGTGGTGGCGAACCTACGGCACGGGTGCCAGAGGCAGCACTCAGAGCCCTCTCCGTGGGCACATGTGCCGTTGCCCCAGACTTGCCTCCGCCTGCGACCCCCTCCTCACCAGCAACACCCTGGAGGAGGGTCGCCCCCGAGTGTGGCCCACGCGGAGCAACTCAGCCAAGGACATGGCAGCCAGGCAGTGTAGACAAGACTCTGCCCTCACACCTCATCACGCACAGTTGATGCTGCGGGGTATGGGCAGAGGGCGTGACTGCCATGGCACTGCTGGGCTGCCATGGCGATCTGCGGCGGGCCCTGGATGCAGTGAGTGGCCCTGCGGGCAGGCAGGGTGGGGCAGAGTGGGGGCGGGACGGGGTGGGGCAGGGGTAGGGCCAGTTTGGGGGCATTCCATCTCTAAAAGGTTTGCCATCACTGCCCTAAACCCTTTCCAGCATGGATCCCCCCATCTTCCAGAGTCAGCCAGGTCTCAGCTACGCCATCGGAAGAGACTCCAATCACTGGGGTTTGCGGCATCGCCGTTGGTTTCCCTATTTCCCACCAAGGAATTGAGGGCTCTCTCTCCTCCAAAGGGGGCCAGGCTCCACCAGGCAGACTCTGGGCTGCCTCCCCTGCCTGAATCCCACAGGGAGAGCTTCCCTTCTCCACCTCAGGAACAAAGCAAGGCAAGGAAAGTGCATTTTGTGACACCCGCCTGGCTTTCATGCCTAAAATGGGACTGGGAGTCACCGTCTTCCAGTTAGTTTCACCTGGTACCATCACTATTAAAGCAAAACTGGCTCCAATTCTAATTATTCCACCAGAATTGGACACAGAGGAAACACAGGGAGGAGATATTAGGAGGGCCTTTAAAAGGGGGGAGGGACTCTCCCACTTTTCATCTCTTCCACCCCCCCCCCCATGCACCCGAAGTCTTGGAAAGAGGCAGAATTGCTTCCACAGCATCAGCTCCCTCCGACTTACCCTGATCTGAATTATTAGATCCTTCCTCACTTCCTGGAAAAGAGGGAAAGAAAAGCGGGTGAGCAAGTTGCTCTCCTGGCTTACAGATGGACAAACTCAGCTCTTTCTGACTCCACCTCCCTCCCTCCCTTTCTCTCTCGCACACAATCAAAGACCCACAAATACCTGGAGAGAGTTTGAACCAAATCGCTTTGACTAAAAGGCATAGGAAAGAATTTTTGAAGTGTATTTATTTATTTATTTATGAGACTTATATACCGCTTTAAGTGCAAGCACTCTCTAAGCGGTGTACACCAGTAAGCAATGTATATATATATATTTACATTGCCCCCAACAATCTGGGTCCTCATTTTACCTACCCCGGAAGGATGGAAGGCTGAGTCAACCTTGAGCCGGTGAGATTTGAACCGCTGACCTGCTGAACACAGTCAGCTAAAGTGGCTTGCAGTACTGCACTCTAACTGCTGCACCACCTGTATGTATGTATGTATGTGTAATGTACATGTCAGATGATGGCGAACCTTTTAGAGACCACCCAAAACCCACTTATTTATCGCCGGGTGCCAGGTGGGTGTGGCCCACTGGATGGGCGTGGCTGTGGTCATGACATACTGGGTGGGTGTGGCCAAGGTGGGTGTGGTCACTGTCAGCTGTCCTCTGCCAGCTGCTGATAAACTCCAAACACAGAAGGAACAGGTGACCAGCAAACTTTAATGCAAAAGAAAAGTCAGTACTGGGAGTGAATTGCTCCCAGTGCTTTACATAATTGTGCTCCATCCACCAACCCCACCTCACTTAGCAAGCGAGCATCCGGTCCGTATGGATAATAGGCGTAGTGCACCACCCTTTCCCCTCCCTCCAGACACACCCACGGAGCCTCTGCCGTCCCAGCCATTTGTTCTGATAACGAGACAGCTGGAGGAAGGGAGACACAGCCAAGGTAAGGCACAATCCCTCCCTCGTCCTGCTTATCTAGTCCCTTGTCCAGCTGGTCGGAGGAGTGTTCCTGGCGTCTGTCTCCTCTGAGGATGGCACCCGCGACGTCTGGCTGCATGCTCCCCATCTCCTGGCCCATGGCAAGCCCAGGGGCTTGACAGTCACCTCGATGCTGCTCGTGGGGAGGGACGCCTCTGGGGGCTGGGCAGGGTTGGGGGAGATCCAGGGGGTCTCTGGCAGGTGGGCAGTGGGCAGAAGGCTCATCCTGAGGCGTGAGGTGAGGCAGGGCAGGGGTGCTGTTGTTGCAGGGCAAGGCGAGGCAGGAGCAGGGGCCGCTGCTGCCTGACACCATCGGCCCCCGCACACAGAGGCCAGCGAGTGCATAGGGGCCGACAGTGTCCGTCAGCAGTCACATCCTGCTGGCCCGTCAACTGGCGCACTCTGGGGCTCCGCAGCCCGCCCCCAGCCGACAGCTGAGGAGGCGATGCAGTGGGTCGTGCCTGGGAAAAGGAGAGCATGCGAGGCCAGTAGGGATGGGAGTGGGGAGGGGAAACCAGCCATGTTGGGTCCCGTGGGACCTCGGCGAGTTAGCAGGCGGCTGGTTGAAGAGGGACGGTTGCCATCTCCAGGGCATGGTGCGCGTGCCCACAGAGAGGGCTCTGAGTGCCGCCTCTGGCACGCGTGCCGTAGGTTCGCCACCACTGGTATATGTATATATATCTCCAAACAGAGCAATTCTTCAGCCAGAGGGAATAGCCAATGCGATAGCTCCAACATCTTTTTTCTCATCAGTTCATACTTAGAGAGCCTCTGAGTGGGAGACCAAGAGGAGAAGAGGCATCCACGAAAGCTCTTCTCTCAAAATGCCTCATTTTGATCATTATTTTCTTTTAAATATTTTATTAGGTTTTATAAGGGTAGGGAAGGGATAGGATTGGCATGGGTATTGGATGGGGTTGGGGAAGAGGGATGGGGTAGGGGTGAGGATAGGGTTAGGGTTATTTTTATCATTATTTTTACGGACTAGATCAGTGGTGGCGAACCTACGGCACGGGTGCCAGAGGAGGCACTCAGAGCCCTCCCTGTGGGCACGGGCGCCGTCACCCAGTCCTAGGCCTTCAGCTGGGTTTTATGAAACCTTTTCACTTTAGGCCTCCGCCGCTGTGTGCAAAAAAAAAAAAAAAGTTCAATCAATCAATCAATTCCAACTTCTCGCGGGGGGGAAAAAAAAGATCTTGCAACGTTGGAATTGATTGATTGAACTTTTTAGTCCCACCCAGTCTGCCGTTACCACCGCAGCCCTGCCCCGCCAATGGGCCACACCCACCCAATGGGCCACGCCCACCCGGCACCCGACGATGCATAAGTGGATTTTGGGTTGCAGTTTGGCCACTCGGCCTCTAAAAGGTTCGCCATCACTGGACTAGATAACGGCCAATATTTTCCTTTCCGCCTACTTGGAAAACAGAGCAAGGTCTCAGTAAGAGGGACCTTTCACCAGCTGGGTCTTCTCACCTTCTGGAGAGTTCCTTGTCCCAGATGTTTCTCCTTGGGGGTCTCCACTCCCAAAACAGCCTGGCATGAATGAAAAGGGGGCCCATCTTCCACAGTCTAGTTCTTAGGAGGAAGAGGAAGACATAGCACAACTCTGCAGCTTCATGAGTGCTTTTGTGTTCAAACACATGCACACACATACACACTCCTTGAGTGATGTTGCCTCTCGTCCCTGCTCTAAATTGGAGATTACATGGAAAGAGGACAATTCACTCACCTAGTGCTGCTCTGTAGTCATCTTGACGTCTCTCTGCAAAGAGAAAAATCAGTGAAAGCTCAAAAGAATCCACCAGAGATCATCCAATCTCTCTTCTCTAAGAGGAAGAACCCCAGGAGATATTTCACGGTCCCTTTGACCCATCAATAAAGACAGAAAGATCTTCAAAATACAAAAGGATCTCCTGATTTGCTCCAAGGGAGACCTGCTGCCTCTGAGATGGAGGGAGGGAAAGGGGGGAAGCAGCAGCAGCTGGGAGGGGAGGAAGATTTTCATGGAAATCCTTCTCTGCTGCTCTTCGACCAAAGACTTTGAAAGGGACGGAACTGGGATGCTTCTTCCCAACCCAGAAGAAGACAAGATTGTCCCAACCTCAGACTCAGCCAGGTCAAGACTGGAGTCCCAGCAAGAGGCCGAGATCTCAGAGGCTCCCCAAGAGAGCTGGGAAAGCAGGACAGGAGGAAGCCCTGAAGAAGCTCCCCAGACTTGGGAGGAACCTCCCCATCTTCCTTCCATCACCCAGAAAAGGAGACTTACTGAGGAATACCAAGATCCCAACAATCACACCCAGCAGGACAAGACCAGCCACAACGCAGCTGATGATGATGATCCCCAGGCTGGATTTTGGTTCTGAATTGGGAAAAAAAGCAGATCATTGAAGGAAAACCCCAAACAATTATCTCAATTAAGGGAGAGACTTAACAGCAACAGCAATAGCACTTACTCATATACCGCCCCATAATGTTTTACAGCACTCTCTCTGTGGTTTACAGTCAGCAAGTGTAATCATTTTGAAGATATAAGTGGTTCTCATCCCATTCGTGGGGTGTTAGCATGTAGTATGTGTAACTTAGCAATAGCACTTAGCACTTAGGCTTATATGCCACCACAGCGCTTTACAGCCCTTGCTAAGCGATTTACAAGATCAGCCTATTGCCCCTAGCAACCTGGGTCCTCATTTTATTGACCTCGGAAGGATGGAAAGCTGAGTCAACCTTGAGCCAATCAGGATCAAACTCCAGGCAGCGGGCAGAGTTAGCCTGCAAGGCTGCATTCCAACCACTGTGCCACCGGGATTCTATATGCAGCCAGAGGACTGGAAAGTCCCCAAATTTAAACAGTCTAAGGGGGGTTCCTCTTCATGTCCCTCTAATGCAGGGGTTCCCAACCAGGGGTGCTGGCACCCCCTGGGGATGCAAGACGATATTCCAGGGCAGTGATGGCGAACCTTTTAGAGACCGAGTCCCCAAAAACCGCCCCCCACCCCTGCTCCGCCCTGCCCGCTGGGCCACCCACCACCTCCACGGCCCACCACAGATCACCCAGGCAGCCCAGCAGCGCCATGGTGGCCACGTCCTCCGCCCACACCCTGCAGCAGCATTTGCGTGCAATGGGGTGCAAGAGCGGAGTCTTGTCCCCGCTGCCCAGCTACCATGTCCTTGGCTGTGCTGCTTTGCGTGGGCCGCGCCCGTGGGCGACTCTCCTCTGGGGGGGGCTGCTGGTGAGGAGGGGGCCATGGGAGGAGGTGGGGCTGGGACGACGGTGCGTGTGCCCACAGAGAGGGCTCCGAGTGCCGCCTCTGGCACGCGTGCCATAGGTTTGCCACCACTGTTCCAGGGGGTGCAAAAACTGGGGTTTTCAAAATGATAATGTATATGCATAATTCGTTGCCGTTGTTCCAAACTTTTGTTAAGGGGTGCGAGAATATCTCAGAAGCGTTCTAGGGGTGCGGGGTACAGAAAAGGTTGGGAGCCGCTGATCTAGTGGTAGTAGTAATAATAATAATAATAATAATAATAATAATAATAATAATAATAATAATAATAATAAAGTTGAAAGGGACCTTGGAGGTCATCTAGTCCAACCCCCTGCTCAGGCAGGAAACCCTATACCATTTCAGACAAATGGCTGTCCAATCTCTTCTTAAAAACTTCCAGTGTTGGAGCATTCACCACTTCTGGAGGCAGATTATTTCACTGGTTAATTGTTCTAACTGTCAGGAAGTTTGTCTTTAGTTCTAGGTTGCTTCTCTCCTTGATTACTTTCCATCCGTTGCTTCTTGTCCTGCCTTCAGGCGTCTTGGAAAATAGCTTGACTCCCTCTTCTTTGTGGCAGCCCCTCAGATATTGGAACACGGCTATCATGTCCCCCCTCCTCCTTCTCTTCATTAAACTAGACAGTATGAAGACACCCTGACGTCTCCTTATGAAGCTTCATTCCTCTCAGAACAGCCCAGCTCATGAAGGCAGCCGACATTCCTCTTTAGCAGCTCAGCTCAAAAGCAACAGTTTGTAATCTTATGACTCTCAGCAGTTTACAGAAAGAAAAACTTCAACAACAGAGTAAGGTAAACAAAATTCATCAAACTATAAAAAACAATTTGTTAGTTTTTTTTTAATAGGCTACTTCCCCGATGCATCCTGACTCTTGGTGGAATTAGGCCGTTCGCTTCATCATCTCCCCCCCCCCCCCATTTTTAAAGAAGAGACTGGACCACCGCTTGTCCAGAACGGTATAGGGTCTCCTGCTTGAGCAGGGGGTTGGACTATAAGACCTCCAAGGTCCCCTTCGACTCTGTTATTCTGTTCTTTCTCAAATTCACAATTCAGCAGGAAAAAAAAAATCGGCATGACTGGCGCTGAAAATCTTCCAAAGTCAATCAAACCGGACTGAATTTATGGATATTTGTTTTCAGAGACCTCCTTCTTTTGGAAATGGATTTTCCAGTCAAAATTGATCGTGCGTGTTCTAGACCTGCCTTAGCCATGAAAGCCAACTGGGTGACCTTGGGCTAGTCCAGGGGTAGGCAACCCAAAACACTCAAAGAGCCACTTGGACCCGTTTCCCACCAAAAACAAAACAGAGCCGCAAAACCTTTTTTTGATATTTAAAATGAAGATAACACTGCATATATCCTTTTTTACCTTTATTTTTATAGCCCCCTCCCTCCCGCCACTGACCCTCCGTCTCCGGTGCTGCTTGGCCAACGGTTGTGCGGGCTGGGCATCGCAGGGGCTGCTCTCCCTCGGGGCTGCGGCTTGCGGGAGGGCTGGCCCGCTCAGCGGAGGCTCCGGTGGGCCGCTCCCAGCGGGGATCCAGGGCTTCCCTGCGTGGCTCCCCAGTCACGTGCGTCTCGGAGAAGGGCCAGCCCAGGAAAGGGATTTCCTGGCTGCCCTTCTCCCAGGGGGCGGGGCACCCAGGTGCAGGGCCAATCATGAGCCCTGTGAGGGGGCAAGTCCGCATGAGAGAGAGAAAGAGAGAGAGAGGGGAAGCGCAAGTGCCTCTCTCTCTCTTTCCTTGTCTCTCTCTCTGCAAATGGCAGAGGAGGCTCCGGAGCTGCAGGGGGATGGCTCAAAGAGCCGCATGCGTCTCCGGAGCCGCGGGTTGCCGACCCGTGGCCTAGTCAGTCTCTCAGTCCAGCCCACCTCATGCGGTTATTTGTGTGGGAAAAGTACGAGGAGAAAGGTGTGCTGGGCCTGTTTGCCTACTTGAGTGGCAAAATAGGAAGAGGAAGGAGTATTAGGTATGTTGGCCACCTTACATTATTTGTAAAAACAATAAAGGTGGAAAATAAACGAACAAACAAGCAATAAATATGTGACGAAGGTTCCTTTGACAAGAAGGAAGACTGGAGCCTATGCAGAGTTCTTTGCCAGAGGCCTTTTTTGCTTCGGTTTTCTGCTGAGCCTCGGGAATTCCTATAAACGCTTGATCGTAAAATTATGTGCATACTTCTTTCTTAGAACAGCGATGCCCAGTGACGTTTTTGTGATTTACAACAGGACAGTTGTGTTAGTCTCTGACGGTAAAAACTCAGACCGGTATGCCACTCTAGACATTTTCGCCAAGTTGGCTGCAGTTTATCACTTTTGATGAAATTTGGGATTGCGAAAAGGGGCTGTAAAACACCTCCCTGATTTTTGTACTTTAGGAATTCTAAACAAAGGGAAATACTTTTTTATGGAGCTCAGCATAATTGCTGCTCCCCTGCTGGAGGCAGGAAACAGAGGAGGAAGAGAGAATAGAGGCTTTAAGAGCATTTAATCAGAACTCTTGTGATGGGATGTGTCACCTGCTTTGAACCCATTAAAGTCAATTCTATGGACTGCAGGTCCACAAGCCTCAACAATAGAAAAAGCAATGGATTAAATCTCAAGTATGCTCACATCTGGACACAGCTGGGGTGAGATTTCCCTCCCACAACCCTCCAGCCTGCCAAAGAGCCCAGCCTTTCCCTCCCTGCAGCCTCTCACCCTCCAGGGCCACGTCCAGAGACTTCGGTAGGCCGTCGTGCTCCACGTGGCAGCGATAGCGGCCCCTCTCTTTGGGATCGATCTGGATGCTGAGCCAGGCGTGGAAGGTCCCATCTGCGTTGGGGGCCACGGAGCCACGGAGGGTGTCCGGCAGCCAGACCTCCCCGTCCCTCGTCCAGGAGGCCTCGATGTCCCTGGGGTAGAAGCCATCCAGGCGGCAGATGTGCGTCTCCATCCCATCCTCCACCTCCTCTGTCCTGCTGCTCATGGTCACCTCTGGAGGCTCTGCAGAAACGGCACCCCCAGAATTAACTCTGAGCCCCTCCAGAGCCTGGAAGGTGGGTAAGAAAGTTGAAGGGGCACTGCTTAATTTTAAGGCAGGGATTTCTCATTCCACACCCGCAGCGTCTCCAAGAGTTTTAGGAAATGCTCCAGATCTGGAAAATGCTCGACCACAAGAACTCCGGATTCTGAGTCCTTCCCAGGGACTCAGCCTGAAAAATTGAGGGTCCAAGGAAATTCCTCTCTGGCTGCTTTGAACTCTGAGTGATAGGCTTGTTCTCCAAGGATGGACACCACCGATCTATTGACACCACCATCCTTTCAGCAGGGGAGGGAAACAGAAGCAGCTATTTAGGACTTCCTTAAAAATAACCCAGGTGTTTCTCCCTACTTCTGGGGTCCACTTTCACGTCCCCAAATCTATTCTAGGTTTCTTTCCAAGGGATTATTTATTTTATTTAGCATATGGCAACACTTTGAAGAGGGGGACAATGAGAGTCCCAGCAAGGGGCTCAGGGCTCTTGGAATCTCACCCTGGTTAATGTGGAAAAGAGATTCTGTTTCTCAAAGGGGGGGCGCAGGAAATGGATGTGGGGAATTGTGGGGAGGGCGATTCCCCCACGCTGCTTGATCTCACCCAGCTGATTCTGAAGATACCATGAGGCCCAGAGAGGCAGGGCCAGTTTTGACAGGAAAATAATAGCCTCACGGAAAAGGATGAGAGGGAAATATTACATTGTGAGCAGGAAGCCCTGTGGGATGAGGGAATGTTCCTGAAGGCGAGGAAGGGGTTGTTTTCTGGGGAAGTCACTAAAGTCAAAAATAAGGAAGCTATTTGAGGTTTAAGAGAAAGACCCACAGAATCTGTGAATTTTTCCCCTCCTCAATCTTGGTCTTTTTTGCCCACGTGGAGGAGCTGATAACGCCCTATTCATGGTAGGTGCCCTCTGGTGGTGGGAGTGGGAGGTGCATCATCAGATGCCAGAAAGGGAGACCTGTTGTCTCTTGGTGGGCTGTGGACAGGACACCCTTCATTGATTTTGCCTGGCAGGTGAATGCTGCTGTCAACGCTGCAAATACTGTATATTCTTGCTTTGACAATATGCAAAACTGTCTGGTATTTTTGGGGTTAATACAGAGCTTAGAGTGTGGGGAGGGTAAAGCCCGGGAAAGAAAGAGGAAGAAAACCTTTGACCTTCACACTAATTGGATAATGTGATATATGACTGGCTAGTTCAGGGAGGGAACATGCTGATAAATTAACTGCTCAGAGGAAGAGAACTTAGATCAGTGGTTCTCAACCTGTGGGTCGGGACCCCATTTGGGGTCGAATGACCATTTCACGGGGGTCGCCAAACAACGCAGTCCACCATTTCCCCCCCCCCTTTTCCTTAGCTGTGCTACTCCCTTTTATTCTATTGGCTTTTGAAAGCCAATAGAATAGACTCTCTTCAATAGAGTCTAATTTGATTGGCTTTCAAAAGCCAGTAGGAATTGTCCAGGCTGTCTCTGCCCTGCTGAGCCTGCCAAAAGTCCCATTCTGCAAACGGTGCTGCACCAATTGAATAGTCCTCGACTTACGACTGGTTGAGTAGTCCTCAACTTACGACCGGTTGAGTAGTCCTCGACTTACGACCGGTTGGGGGTCGCGGCATTAAAAAGGCTGAGAACCACTGACTTAGATCTTAGCATAAACTTTGTTATGCCTGTGCCGACATTTTGAAACAATAAAAGACTTTTAGGGAAATCAATGCCTGGAAGTTCTTTGAAGTGTTTCATTAGCCGGAACCATATCATCTGCGCTTCCTGGTCCACTTAATGGCTCCCTGGCAACAGGAACTAAACAGGGCTTCCCATATTCTGGAGCGGTGCTGGAAGGGAAGAGGATTCCCTCCTGAGCAGCCCGGTCGCAGGCCAGAACCCAAAGGAGCTGACTGTGTCCAAAATATCCAACCATAACGGAGGAAAGTCCAGCCTGGATCCAGAGGCTCACCTGTCCTCAGCAGCGTCTCATTCCCGTAGGACAGAAACTTCTTCAGCCACGCAATGCATTCCTCCATAAGGTAGGTCTTAATGTACGGATTCAGTCTTGGATTAGCATTCCAATCCCTCTGGGTCACCTGGGCCTGGAGGTCGGAAGCCACCCAGGTGAAGGTCTTTTCATCGAAGGCGATGAAGGTCCTCCCTTGGTAGCCATACTGCCAAAGTCCTCTGCTCCTGTTACCCTGGAGCGTACAGCTGACCATGTTCTGCCAAGTGTGCAGGCCTGAAAGACGGACAGAAGGATGGTTTGGGGGAGTCCTCAGGACACGCAAAAGCCTCCCCCCTCCGTATAGGAGACCATTTTTTTCCCTTCTCTGCACATTTTCTTCAACTGTTTCCTGGCGCATTTTATCTATCTCTTTCTTTCTTTCTTTTTGTATTTGCTTTGATCTTCTGCTTTAAATTATATATATATATATATATATATATATATATATATATATATATGTATGTATGTATGTATGTATGTATGTATGTATGTATGTATATGTATATGTATATGTATATGTATATGTATATGTATATGTATATGTATATATATATGTTTTCTGAGGTTTTCGCGGATGTTTGTATGTAGGTCTTTGGTTATTCGGGTTTTCTCCCACGTAAAATTGGAAGTGTCTTGGCGACGTTTTGACAAAGTCTCATTCGTCATCTTCAGGCTGGTGCTTCTGGCTTCGTTCACATTGCTCCTAGAAGCACGAAGACGAAAGCACCAGCCTGAAGATGATGAATGAGACTTCGTCGAAACGTCGCCAAGACACTTCCAATTTACGTGGGAGAAAACCCAAATAACCAAAGATAGATAGATAGATAGATAGATAGATATATATAGATATATATAGTCTTGGCGACGTTTCGACGAAGTCCCATTCGTCATCTTCAGGCTGGTGTTTTCAGCTTCGTGCTTTGAGCAGCAATGTGTGGTCTTAGCTGTTTCTTCCTTTTAACTGCCAGTGGGGGTATGAACTGATTGGGTGGGAGCTTGGCTGTGTTCTGATTGGGTGGAGGTGTGTTCTGAATGGTTAGGGGCTTGGCTGTGCTCTGATTGGCTGGGGGAGTGTTCTGTTTGGTTGTGCTCAGGTTAGTCTGAGTTGCAGAGGGGTTTGAGATTTTGGGCTGCCTTCTTATTTTTTGGCTTCGCGTTCGTGGTCGTGCTTCTTCTTCATGGAGGGTGTCAGTTTGCTTTATGTATGGATTGGAGGGGTTTAAAGTGGCTAATGATGCAGCTGTGGTCTGGCTTCTGGTTTGTGGTCGTGCCTCGTCATCAGTGTGGCTTTGGGTTTGTTTTTTGCGTGGATGTGTGGTGGTGACATCCTGTGTGGTTTTTGTGAGTGTGGGTCTGGTATCATTTTTTGTGTTAGGGAGTCGTTTGTCAATAAGGGCGGGTTTCCAAATGGCTGGTAGGCGGGAGGTATCATCTCGCTTGTTCATGCTGTGTGGGCGTTTTTCTATCTCGATGGCTTCTCTGATTATTCTGTTATTAAAATGTTCACTTTTGGCAATGGTTCTGGTATTTTTAAAGTCAATTTCATGTCCTGTGGCTTTAAGGTGTTGGACCAGGGAAGATGTTGGTTCCTCTTTTTTGACTGAGTTCTTATGTTCTTCAATGCGTGCACTTATTCTTCTGTTGGTTTGTCCGATGTATGTGGTGGGACAAGTGGTGCATGGGATTTCGTATACTCCTTGATTTTCTAATTCAATTTTATCTTTGGGGTTTCTAAGGATGGTGGATATTTTTCTGTTTGTGCAGAATGCTGTTTTGATGTTGTGTTTATGGAGGATCTTACTGATTCTGTCTGTGGTGCCTTTTATGTATGGGAGGAGGGCTTTGCCGTTTTCTTGTTCTTTGTCTTGGATTTTACTGGGGGTTTCTTTTTGGATTAGGTTTGTAATCTTATTTCTATGGAATCCATTGGATGTTAGTACATTGGTGAGAGTGTGTAGTTCGGGTTTTAGGTGTTGTTCGTCAGCTAAGCGTTTTGTTCTGGAGATGAGTGTCTTGGCTACAGAGTTGATCTGTGCTGGGTGGTGGTGTGAGAGAGCGTGCAGATAGCGGTTTGTGTGTGTTTTCTTCTGGTAGATGGTGTGTCCTAGGGAGCCATTGGATTTCTTGTAGACTAAGACATCCAGGAAGGGAAGTTGGTTGTTAGCTTCTGTTTCCATAGTGAACTGTATTTTGGGGTGTAGGCTGTTGAGGTGTGTGAGGAAGTTGTCCAGTTTTTCTTTCCCATGTGGCCAGATTATGAAGGTGTCGTCTACGTATCTGAGCCAGAGTTTGGGTTTGTGATCCGATTTTTCTAGAGCTTGGGTTTCAAAGTGTTCCATGTAGAGGTTGGCAATGACAGGTGAGAGGGGTGATCCCATGGGTGCTCCTTCTGTTTGTTTGTATTTTTGTCCATTATAGATGAAGTATGTGTTGGATAGGCAGTGGTTGGTCAGATCTAAGATGTGTTTGGGGGGGTTATATTTGTTTTGAATAGCTGTCAAGGCTTCTTTGATAGGCACTTGGGTGAAGAGGGATATGACATCGAAGCTCACTAGTAGGTCGCTGGGCTGTAAGTTTTGTTTCTTTATGATCTCTATAAACTGGAATGAGTTTTTTACGTGTGAGGTGATGGATTCTGCATAGTGCTGTAGTTGTTTGGCGAGAAATTTGGCTAGGTTTTGTAGAGGTGAGCCTATGGAGCTGACTATAGGTCTGAGTGGGGTTCCTTCTTTGTGTATCTTGGGGAGACCATAGAGTTTGGGGCATCTGGATGATTTCTCTCTGGGAATGATTCTTTGCTGGATCTCTTCGCTAATGGGGGAGGCTTTTATTTTGGATCTGGTGGTTTTTTCCAGGTAGGTGGTGGGATCTGTATTTAGGGGTTTGTATGTGGAGTCTTGGAGTAGGTTGGTTAATTTGGTTTGGTAGTCAGATGTGTTCATAACCACCGTGGCGTTGCCCTTGTCTGCTGGTAGGATTATTATGCTGGTGTCTTCTTTCAGGTTACGTAGTGCTGTCTGTTCCTCTTTGGGTAAGTTGCTTTTGGGTGGCTTGCTGGTGCAGAGGATGTTGGTGATTTCGAGTCTGATTCTGTTAGCGTCGTCGGGGTTGATTTTGGTCAGGCTGGTTTCAACTCCACATATAATGGTTTCAGCGGGGATGTGTTTGGGAGCGACTGCAAAGTTGAATCCTTTGGAAAGGACATTGGTTTCGGCTTTGGTGAGAATCCTATCTGAGATGTTATGCACTGTTTGTTTCATGTGTGGCTGTGAGGGAGGAGGGGTTTGTTTCTGGCATTCTTGTAGTCTTCGGAGTTTGTTGGTGTGTGTATCTGTCTTGAAGCACGACCACGAACGCGAAGCCAAAAAATAAGAAGGCAGCCCAATCTTTTATATATATAAAAGATTGAAAAAGGTCAACAGCACGTCGGGGATCCTCAAAACGGTATCGAAAACATGGAGGCTAATGTCATAAAGCCAAGGGTGTCAAACTGCTGGCCCGCGGGCTGGTTGCCTCACGCGGAGGCCACCCCCGCCCCAGGTGATACCAAAAAAGTCACGACACGTCGCGTGATGTGGCGAGTTTGACACCCGTGTCGTAAAGCCTTCGCATAAATCAAGGGTGCGACCACATCTGCAATATTATGTGCAGTTTCAGTCACCAGACCTCAAAAAGGACAGAAGGGAGCTGGAGAAGATCCAGAGGAGGTGATCCAGAGGATGAGAAGGGTTGAAGCAGCCTCCCTTTGAGGAAAGGGTGGGACATTTGGGGGTTTTTAGGCTAGATTTCTCCACCAGGGGGAGATCTGCACCTCCGAGAAGCCAGCAGGGGGCCTGGGGGGATCTGGGGAAACTCTGGGGCAGGGGTAGGCAATCTTGGCTCTTTTATGACTTGTGGACTTCAACTCCCAGAATTCCTGAGATCCACGAGTCATAAAAGAGCCAAGATTGTCTACCCCTGCCCTGGGGGAAAAGAGGCTGAACTAGCAAAGCTCTAGTATCTCTTGGAGGAGGGATGAGCAAGGAAAAGGCAGGAAAAGTGGGGCTCACAACCTGTGATGAAAGGAGGCAAAATGGCTGAAGTTTGTGGAGAGTAAGGTGACCAGCCATCCTCCTTTAGGGAGGACAGTCCTCCTTTTGTAAGTTCTCTCCTCCCTCGAAAAGTGTCCTCCTACATCAGACATGTCAAACACAAGGCCCGCGGGCCGGATGCGGCCCACAAACTGGTTTCATGTGGCCCGCGAAGCCATCCTGGAAACAGTGAGGGAATGGCCCCCGCTGCCTTGGAACCTGGCCCACACTGGCCGGGAGCCAATATACAATTTTGTGGTGGCCATCTATGCTGAAACGCATTCAGTCTTAGCTCCACAAGGCCATCTAGAAACAGCGAGGAACCAGCTCCTGCTGTGTCGGCCCCGCCCCCTGGGTTCATGCTGGGGAGGTGTCACCCTTTGTGAGGAATGAAGAAATGGATCATGCTTTGGCGCTTGCCCCGGTCCCACCCCCTTCTGCCAGAGACCCTCAGATCTGTCCCACTCCTTCCCAGGCCCCCACAGGCACTCTTGACGGGAACGATGTAGAGCTGGCCACGCCCACCCAGTAGGCCACACCCACTCCATCCACGCCCACCCAGTAGCCCCCGTGCCCCCCCCCCGAGGGCAACCGCAATGCTGATGCGGCCCTCAATGAAATTGAGTTTGACACCCCTGTCTTACATGTCCTCCTTTTCAATATTTGAAGCCTAATCTGCAGGGCTTTTTTTCCCCTCATAGAACGCTCAGAACAGGGTTCCGTTTTTGTTTTTTTCAACTTTTGCATGAGCTGTGCTACTCCCGCTATTGGCTTTCGAAAGCCAATAGGAATTGCTGCTGAGCGCGCCAAAACACCCAGCTGGCAAACTTTGCACATGCAAGTTGTCTGTATTATTGTTGCAATGAATAAAATGTTTCTTTTATTTACGATATTTTTTTTTCTTCAATTTATTTGTGTCCTCCTTTTCATTGTAAAAAAGTTGGTCACCTTATTATTGAGGGGGGGGGAGGCTGCAAGCAAATGTGTATGTAACCATAGACTGCTTTTGGCCGAGATAAACCCTCTCCACTAAGGCAATCAACTGTTTTTACAATGAAGAAGAGGACACAAATAAATTGAAGAAAAAAATATCGTAAATAAAAGAAACATTTTATTCATTGCAACAAGAATACAGACAACTTGCATGTGCAAAGTTTGCCAGCCGGGTGTTTTGGTGCGCTCAGCAGCAATTCCTATTGGCTTTCGAAAGCCAATAGCGGGAGTAGCACAGCTCATGCAAAAGTTGAAAAAAAAACATCAAAAAAAGGTGCCGGAACGCCGTTCTGAGCGTTCTATGGGGGGGGGGGGAAAGCCCTGCAGATTAGTCTTCAAATATCGAAAAGGAGGACATGTAGGAGGACACTTTTTGAGGGAGGACAGAACTTACAAAAGGAGGACTGTCCTCCCTAAAGGAGGACGGTTGGTCACCTTATCAATAATGTTCTTTGAAGGTGAATCTTGTCCCCCCAAAGATGGCAGATGAGGGCAGGGCAGGGGGGGGGGGGGAATATGGGGCAGGAGGAGCCACCCGTCCCATCACTCACCGTTGCTGTGATTGTAGCGAGTCTTCAGCTTCTCCAGGTCTTCTTTGAACAGCTTCTCATTGTCACGTAATATCTCGGTGTATTTTTCCCAGTACTGGGGGTCTTCCTTCTCCACCTTCTCTATCCAGGAGACTCGAGGCTGGAACTTCTGGCTGTTGCTGTCATAGTGAGCAAAGACCTGACTGTCCACATACCCCAGAACAACAAAATGAGGCGATTCCTGACTGGAGTCCGAGATGGAGGTGTAGAAATACTTCAGGGAGTGCGAGGAGTTGCCTGGAAGGGACCCAGAGGAGCAAAGTGAGGGAGGGTTCAGCTCAGGAACCCTGATCCTATGGGGCACAGCTGGCCCCATCTTAGGGTCTGGGGAGGAAGAAGAAACCTGGGGGGGAGGGGAGAGAAAGAAGGGGGGAAAGGAAGGGAGAGATGATGCGAGAGGAAGAGGAGGCAGAGGGTGAAACAGGAAGCAACTTTTGGGGAGGACTGAAAGGTTAGAGGGCAGAGAAGTTTGGGGTGAGAGAGAAGGGGAAGGAAAAAGCAGGGCCAAAGCAAGAGCAGATCCCCCAAACTCTACTTGACACCCCCCCCCTCAAATGTGCCTCCTTCCAGCAAGGCTCTCGTAGATTTCTCAGTCTCTGCTCCAAGGAGGCTTCCCAGAGGCCTGGAGGGAGTTCCAACCCCCAAACAGCAGGAAACCCCACTTGGTCACCCCAACTTTCAAATAATCTCACCCCACTGAGGGCCAACATGCGTTATTAATAAGTTTAAGATTCGAGGGGAGATTTTATTAGACGGGGGAGAGAAAGAGGGATCCAGGAAGGACCAGAGGCCATGGGACCCTTGTGGGAGTAAGGAGAGCAGCAATGAAGCCATGAAGCCATCTTCCTTCTCATGCCCGGCTGGGAAGTTCCCCCTCCTGTCCCACAGAGTTCAGGCATCGTGAGTAGGAATTGGCTTTGAACCCAGGACTCAGTGGGGTTCATTCCACTCGTTGGGGGCCACTTGGAGTTCTTCTGTCCCAGCCTACGTATGTCCTTGTTACTTCACAAAGACAACCTCTTTTAACAATAGACTGGAAAATAAACCCTTTTTATTTGAGCTACAGACCTGATAATTGTCCCAGAAAACAAAAGCAACAGAACACTTTTCCAACGGGGACCTTGTCCAAAAGCAAAAACGGAGCACGAGTCAAACAGGAAATAACACAGGCAAAATAAACAGACCATGATCTCTTAACACTGAAGTTCTTGGCAAACGGTTGCCTCCAGCAACCAGCCCTGCTCACACATTCCTTTTTTGTTACGCAGCCCCCAAGGCATGGCTTCTCACTGCTTTCTCCTCCTTCCCTGGAGTTGCCCCGTTGCCTCCCTCTGTCCTTTTCGTGTGACCTGTCTACGTTTACAAGCGTCTCTGAGGTCTTCCAGCTGTGCTTCCTCTGACTCAGCTTCCCAGCACAGCTGGCTCTCAGCTCGATCACAAGTGGAAGGACTGGCCTCTTCATTAGTCTGTAAGTCCTGCAGCTCATCAGAGCCTCCCTCCGACTCTGATGGCTCTCCAGGCCCCTCTTGCTCCTCGGATTACCCAGACTCAACTACCGAGATCACAGGCTGGCACGGAATCACAACAGGAGTTTCTCTATGCCTTCAGAGTCACCCGAGTAGTGCAAATGGGAGTGGAACCTTCTTGGAGCTGCTGAAAGGATTGTGTTGTAAACAGGAAATAAGTGGTATCATATCCTTTCCTGTCTTTTTGAGAGAGGGTTGTTCAATTATAGCGTATGACCCCCCTTTCAAACCAGGGGCCCTCTCTGTCCAGAATGTGGACCACTGTCTTCAAAAGACGGACCATCATTATTATTATTATTATTATTATTATTATTATTATTATTATTATTATTATTATTATTATTATTATTATTAAAATTTATAAGCCGCCCCACTCCCGAAGGATTCTGGGCGGCTAACAATAAAAAACACATAAAACATAACAAAACAACAATACAAAAACAATCATCCAGGGGTAAGGTTTTATAAACCCCAGGCCTGCCGGAAAAGCCAGGTCTTAAGTAGCTTACGGAAGACCAACAGGGTGGGAGCGGTCCTAATCTCCGGGGGGAGCTGATTCCAAAGCGTGGGCGCCATCACAGAGAAGGCCCTCCTCCGCGGCCCCGCCAAATGGCACTGCTTTGCCGACGGGGCCTGAAGGAGGCCCAGCCTGTGGGATCTAACCGGACATAGGGAACTATGAGGTAGTAGGCGGTCTCGCAAATAGCCTGGCCCTGAGCCATATAGGGCTTTAAAGGTAATGACCAACACCTTGAATTGGAGCCGGAGACCAACAGGCAACCAGTGCAGCTCACGGAGGATAGGTGTAACGTGGGTGTATCGAGGAGCACCCACTATCACTCGCGCAGCTGCATACTGGACCAACTGTAGTCTCCGAATACTTTTCAAGGGTAGCCCCATGTAGAGCGCGTTGCAGTAGTCCAAACGTGAGGTGACAAGGGCGTGAGTGACTGTAAGGAGAGCCTCCCGGTCCAGGTAGGGTCGCAACTGGTGCAACAGGCGAACTTGTGCAAAGGTCCTCCCAGCCATAGCCGTCAATTGATGTTCCAAATTCAGCTGTGGATCAAGGAGGACACCCAAGTTGCGAACCCGCTCCGAAGGGGGTATATTTTCCCCCACAAGAGTCAACACTGGACAGTCGGCATGATCCTTGGGAGGCAACATCCAAAGCCACTCGGTCTTGTCAGGATTGAGCCTGAGTCTGTTAACCCCCATCCAGACCCTCACAGCTTTGAGGCAATGGCCCATCACATCGGCCACTTCACTGAGAGAGCTCGGGGAGGAGATATATAACTGGGTATCATCAGCATACTGTGTAACCTCACCCCGTGCTGTCTGATGATCTCACCCAGCGGCTTCATATAAATGTTAAATAGGAGGGTAGAGAGGACCGACCCCTGTGGCACGCCGCATTCAAGGGGCCTCGGGGTTGACCTCTGCCCTCCCACCAATACCAATTGCGACCGGCCAGAGAGGTAGGAGGAGAACCACCGTAAAACGGTGCCTCCCACTCCCACTCCTTCGAGTCGTCGCAAAAGGATACCATGATCGATGGTATCGAAAGCCGCTGAGAGGTCAAGTAGCACCAAGACAGAGGAATAACCTCTGTCTCGGGCCCGCCAGAGATCATCCATCAGCACGACCAAAGCAGTTTCTGTGCTGAAGCCGGGCCTGAAGCCAGATTGAAAAGGGTCTAGATAATCCGCTTCATCCAGAGACCGTCGGAGCTGGACCCTTCTTTTTCAGATGGACTGCCGCATCTTGTCCTGATAGGCTTGTTCTCCTAGGATGGACACCACCGATCTATTGACAACACCATCCTTTCAGCAGCTTCAAGGAGGTTCCACATCCATTTGCAATACAGGTAGTCCTTGATGGATGATAGCGGAGCCCAAAATTGACATTGCTAAAGTGAGAAATTTGCTAAGTGAGCTTTGCCCCATTTTACGGCTTTTCCTGCTGCCTTTGCTCAGTGAATCACTGCAATTGTTAAATTAGGCTTGTTAGATTTTATTAGTTTTTACAGGGTTAGAAATAAGGTGGGGTTGAGGTTGGGATTTGGGTTAAGGCTGGGGTTGGGGTTTTTCCAAATAACATTCTCAATATTTAGCAAACAGCATAATGTCTGGGTTCATGTGTTTAACAAACAATAATAGATAATAGTTAATTATCATAATGTTATTTATTTATTTATTATTAATAAAATTTATATGCCGACCAATCCCTAGGGACTCAGGGCGGCGTACAAAATTAAAACAACAAATATAACAATTAAAAATGAATACATTCACACAGCATGTCCCAATCGAATCCCGGCCCCCCCGGGGACATCAACCCCAGGCCTGCCGGAACAGGAGAGTTTTAATAGCTTTCTTGAAGGCCGGCAAGGTGGGAGTAGTTCAAATCTCGGGGAGGAAGTTGATTCCACCATGTCGGAGCCACCACAGAAAAGGCCCTTCCCCGAGGGCCCGCCAACCGACATTGTCTGGCCGACGGGATCTGAAGGAGGCCCAATCTGTGGGACCTCACCGGTCTCTGGGAACTATGCAGCAGTCACTCAATAGCCTTCTTCTTGCTAATATATATTCCACGGCTTGTTAAGTGAATTTGATTTTGCTTGTCAGAAGTTTGTAAAAAGGGATCGCGTGACTCTGGGACACTGCAACCGTCATAAATATGAACCAGTTGTCAAGCGTCCGAATAGAAATCCCGATGCTGCAATGGTCGTAAAGGTGAAAAATGGTTGTAAGTCCTTTTTTTCAGTGCCATTGTAACTTCAGATGGTCACTAAATGAACTGCTGTAACTCGAGGACTACCTCTATTCAGGGGACCTGGAGGGCACAGATAAACCTCCAAGTGGCCTCAAGGAGTCTCAGAGGGAGTGCTAACGACTAGATGACTACCAGGAATATAAATCCTTCCACCACCATTCATTCAGAACTGAAGCTGCCGTCCTTCCGAGGTCAGTAAAATAAGAACCCAGATTGTTGGGTTCAATATGTTGACTCTGTAAACCAGGGGTTCCCAAACTATGGTCCACAACCCAATACTGGGCCGTGGCTTGTTGGCCACCGGGCCCGGGGAATAGCTGGTGAGCCCCGCTCCACTCACAGTAGCACTGTCACATGGGCCCTAGCCCATTTGCACATGCGCAGGGATGTTAGCACCGCCACCAGGGTCACATGGTGGGCACCGGCGGCCTGTTTGCACATGCATGCACGCAGCCTTTGCACATACGCACACGGGGTCATGCACACGCACATTTCCCTGCTGCTCCCTTTCCTTTTGGGCCGCCAAACCAGAAAAGTTGGGGGACTCTGCTGTAAATTGCTTAGAGGGGGCTGTAAAGCACCGTGAAGCGGTATACAGCTAGTCCTCGACTTACAACAGTTCATTTAGTGACCATTCAAAGTTACAACATCACTGGATCATTTTTCATACTTGCGACCATTGTAGCATCCCCATGGTCATGTGATCAAAATTCAGATGCTTGGCAACTAGGTCGTATTTATGACAGTTGCAATGTCCAGGGGGGTCACGTGATCAACTTTTGCAACCTTCTGACAAGCAAAGTCAATGGGGAAACCAATTTCACTTAACTGCGTTACTTAATTTACCAACTGCAGTGATTCACTGAACAGCCATGGCAAGAAATGCCATAAAATGGGGCAAAACTCATTTAACAAATGTTTCACTTTGCAACAAATTTTGGGCTCAGTTGTGGTTATAAGTTGAGGACCTGTATGAGTCTAAGCGCTATGGCTATTCTTGGATGTGAAGCTAAAGTGTCTTCGAGGAAAACAAAGAAAGTCCTTTGGGACAAAATAATCAAAGGAAAATAAGATGTGCCTGACAAATGACTTCGTCAAGGAATTGAGCAGCCGGTGTCCAAATGAAGTCAAAGAAACTGACACAAACATGTAGTTTTATACAAATGAATACAGTTTACACCTATATGTACAGCAGACAAGATGGGCAGGATAAAGAGGAGCATCATGAGGTAAATCAAGCAGCGTACAGAACACACAGAAGAAAAAGGCGGGAAAAAAAGGAAATTCCCCCTTTACACTCACAGCAACCAATCACAGCATGGATTGCCTCCTGCAGGAGCCGGCACTCTCTAGCCAATCAGATGCAACTGTGTGTCCTGGCCCATTGTCCAATTTTACTGTTCCAGCTACTACATTTAAATATCTTAAGATCAGTTAACCTGAAAAATCAGCAAGGAAGGGGCTGCAATTGAAAAAAAGAGACCATTGTGACCTTCAGATCAGGAATTCTTCCAGGGCACTAAAGAGTTTAAAGATCATTTTAAGGATCATTTGGCCATAACCTGGATCTGCACAGAAAAAGGCAGGACCTATACAGCCCAGTGAAAGAAACAGTCCCACTGCCCAGTCCCTCCAACATGGTCTCCCAGCCCTTCCCAGTCACCCAAGGCAAAGGCCTCGGCCTCCTTCTTCCTGCTCCTCCCCACAATTCCAGTGGTTTCTCAGAGCTTTTGGGGAGAGCGATCCCCAGATCCACTTCCTGCTCTGGGGAGATTTCAGAATCCAAAGGGATCAGGGCTTTTCTCCAACAGAAGGAGGGGGAATCGGATCTTCCATGATCCAGAACTGGCTTCTTTCCCTTGTGGGGCTGAGCAGTGAGGGAGTCTGAAGTCTGCCTGAGAGGAGAAACATGTGAATGTAACGCAGGTTGGGCATCCTCACAATCGTAAATCCTCAAGTCAGGAAGGGCTGGTCAGCTTGGGCCTCTCTGTGTCCAAGCAAGCCATCCATTTCAGGCTCTCCATCCACAGTAGCTTCTCTCCTTCTGCCTCCAACTTACCCTATTCAATGGTTCTTTTTTATACCTTTTTGGAAAGCTGCTCCATTGATAGTTTCCCTGCGCAAACAAGCAAGAACACCCCAAGACTCTCTTTCGAATTACTAAGGAATAATGAATTTTAAATATTTTTAGTTTTGCCAACTGTCCCATGTTGGTGGCTTCTGAAATGGAAGGAGGGTAGGAGATACAGAAACATAGCCAGCCGTACCAACAGGCTGAAGAACAGCTTTTATCTATGGGCCGTCAGGCTTCTGAATGGGACATAACTTTATAACTTTATGCATGACAGACTTGTGAGGCCTGCATGATGTGCAATTAGTTCACAGGGTGAAATAAGTTGGGGGTTTGTAGTCACTGTGAGTTTGTAGTGAGAGGGGGCACAGAGGGAGGCCAATTTCACTGAATACATATTATACTTTGATAATAAAAGGTTTATTATTATTATTATTATTATTATTGATCATCGCACAGTCAGCCAGATGTTCAGGCTGGATTTGGCATTTTGTCTACCTATCCAGTCCTTACCCAGGGCCTGGGATAGGCAAATGTGGATGTTTGATGGTATTACAGGTATCGTCGCAGGATGGAAGCAGTTCCTAGTAAGGCCACCTTTTGCAATTGACTAATGGCAAATTTGTCAATGCCAATGGTGTTCAAGTGGTGCTCCAGTTGTTTTGGGATTTCATCCAAGGCGCCTATGACTATTGGTACTACCCTTGCTTGCTTTTGCCACAGTCTTTCTATTTCTGTTTGTAGGTCTTTGTATTTTGTTATTTTCTCCAGTTCTTTCTCGTCTATTCTGCTGTCTCCAGGCACTGCCACATCCACTTTATTATTATTATTATTATCGATCATCGCACAGTCAGCCAGATGTTCAGACTGGATTTGGCATTTTGTCTCCCTATCGAGTCCTTACCCAGGACCTGGGATAGGCAGATGTGGATGTTTGATGGTATTACAGGTATCGTCGCAGGATGGAAGCAGTTCCTAATAAGGCCGCCTTTTGCAATTGACTAATAGCGAATTTGTCAATGCCAATGGTGTTCAAGTGGTGCTCCAGTTGTTTTGGGATTGCACCCAAGGAGCCTATGACTATTGGTACTACCCTTGCTTGCTTTTGCCACAGTCTTTCTATTTCTATTTGTAGGTCTTTGTATTTTGTTATCTTCTCCAGTTCTTTCTCTTCTATTCTGCTGTCTCCAGGCACTGCCACGTCCACTATCCAGACTTTTTTGTCTTTCTTATCGACAATTGTTAAGTCTGGGGTGTTATGTTGCAGGTGCTTGTCTGTTTGAATTCTGAAGTCCCAGAGCAGTTTAATTTTATCATTTTCTATGACTTTCTCTATTTTATGATCCCACCAGTTTTTGCTTACAGGCAAATGATATTTTTTGCAGATCTTCCAATGCACCATTGTTGCTACTTTGTCATGCCGCTGCTTGTAATCAGTCTGTGCAATCTTCTTGCAACAGCTTACCAAGTGGTCCACTGTTTCTTCAGCTTCTTTGCATAGGCGGCACTTACTGTCTGTTGCTGTCTTCTCAATTTTGACTTTGTATGCATTTGTCCTTAAGGCTTGGTCTTGTGCAGCCAGAATTAGTCCCTCGGTCTCTTTCTTCAATTTTCCTGCTCTTAGCCATTGCCAGGTTTTATTATTATCTGCTTTCCCAGCTATTTTTTTAATGTATTGGCCATGTAGTGCTTTGTCTTCCCATGCCTCTATTCTGTTCTTCATTTGGTCTTTCTTGTAGGCCAGTTTGGTCTCTCCAGTAGTTAGTAAGCCTTCCTGATATACTAATTTCAGTGCATCTTCATCATTGTTCTTCAGATATTATTATTATTATTATTATTATTATTATTATTATTATTATTATTATTATTATTATTATTATTATTATTATTATTATTATTATGAATCTTGCCTGTCCTAGAAAAAAAGCCCAGGGATAATACTGGGGTTTAGGATGGAGCGGGGGTGGGGGGAGGGAGATTGAAGAGAAAAATGACAAGAAAAAAGGACAGGTCTTTAGGAAGATCATTCAAGGAAAGCTTCCCTGTACACGCTTCTCCTGCTTTACAGGTAGTCCTCGACTTACAACAGTTCATTTAGTGACCGTTCAAAGTTACAAAGGCACTGAGGAAAATGACTCGTGACACGGTCCTTCACAGTTGCGAACTTGGCAGCATCCCCACGACCATGTGATTAAAACTCAGAGGCCCAGGCAACTTAAATCAGTGTTTCTCAACCTTGACAATGTTAAGGCATGTGGACTTCAACTCCCAGAATTCCACAGCCCGCAAAGACACGTGCCTTAAAATTATCAAGGTTGAGAAACACTGACTTAAATCATAAAGTGGCCAGAGGGGGGAGGGAGAGCGGACTAGAAAGAGGACCGGGTGAGGATTCTCTTTCTGGGAATAAACTTTTGGGGGAGGAGAGAAAGTTTCCCTAGCAGATAAAAGGGGCGGGAAAGTCTCCCCCCCCCGGCCCCCGAAGGGACTCACCGAAGCGGCTCTCCCGCGAGGCGACCGTCACCAATACTAGAAGCAACAGGGGCGCAGAGCGCAGAGCCATCCCGGCTGGCGATCCTCCACCCGCGCTCCGTTTCCCGGAAGCCGCAGCCAGAGAAAGAGGCGCCCTCGCGTTGATCAACAAGCGCAACAATCTGGAGCCCGCTGGCGATTGGGCGAACTCGACCAATGGAAAAAAAGAATATGCCCATGTCGTCATTGTTGCTGGGCGGACGTCCAGACGCAGCTCGAGAGACGGGGGCGGGGAAAGGAAAGCGAAAGTTCCATCGGGAAATCCCCTTCCAGGGATTCCGCCTCTTCGGGGGGGGGGGGAGGGGCAGAACGGCGGGGCTGGGAAAAGCGGGAGGGTCCGCTGGGCTGTTGATCACCGGGGGGCCCTCTTTCCCGCCATTTAGTAGCGCAGACAGGATGGCTCTGCGCTCTACGCCCCCCTGGCTTCTGGTTTCGGTGGCGTTTATTCTATGGGAGAGCTGTTTCGGGGAGTCCCTTTGGGGGGTCTTCGGGGTTCGGGGCCCCTTTTTCTGCTGGTGGGAATCCATCCAGGGAATCGCTCTCTCCCCCTCCCCCCCAATATTCCCAGAAATAAAACCCTGATTTGGTCCTCTTTCGAATCCGCTCCCTTCCCCTTTGGGTCCAACAAAAGCGCGTATAGTCCAGGCCATGGTTTTCCCAGTTGCAATGTATGGCTGTGAAAGTTGGACCATAAGAAAGGCGAGCGCCAAAGAATTGAGGCCTTTGACTATGGTGCTGGAGAAGACTCCTGCGAGTCCCTTGGACTGCAAGGCGTTCAAACCGGTCAGTCCTGGAAGAGATCAACCCTGACTGCTCTTTAGAAGGCCAGATCCTGAAGTTGAAACTCAAGTACTTTGGCCACCTAATGAGAAGGAAGGACTCATTGGAGAAGGGCCTAATGTTGGGAAAGATGGAGGGCAATAGAAGAAGGGGACGACAGAGAATGAGATGGCTGGATGGAGTCACTGAAGCAGGAGGTGTGAACTTAAATGGACTCCAGAAGATGGTAGAGGACAGGAACACCTGGAGAAACGTTGTCCATGGGGTCGCGATGGGTCGGATACGACTTTGCAATTAACAACAACAACAAAAAGAGGAGGCCCCAAAGCGTGGATGAGACTCTGCTGCTGCTGCCACCACTCTTCCCCCACCCGCAGGCACAGCCCCTCTGGGAACAGAGAAGCAACCTAGAACTCCGGAGTAATTTCCTGACAGTTAGAACAATTAACCAGTGGAACAACCTGCCTCCAGAAGTTGTGGATGCTCCAACCCTGGAAGTTTTTAAGAAGAGATTGGACAACCACTTGTCTGAAAAGGTATAGGGTTTCCTGCCTGAGCAGGGGGTTGGACTAGATGATCTCCAAGGTCCCTTCCAACTATTCTATTCTATTCTATTCTATTCTATTCTATTCTATTCTATTCCATTCTCTATTCTCTATTCACTATTCTCTCTTCTCTTCTCTTCTCTTTCATTTCACTCCACTTCACTCCACTCCACTCTATTCCAGGACAAGAGTGGTCCCTCCAGATGTCAGTCTGGAATTGGGCACCCCCCCCCCAGCCCAATTCTTTCTCTTCCTGAAAGTGGAGGTTGTTAGAAAGCAGCATTTGCAGGTGATCAGGTCAATTCACAACCTCCTGGCTGCTTGGCGCATACACACACATAAAGACACAATCTCGGGGCCTTTGGCCGGGCTTTGTGGATCTTTCTGGTTTCTGGTGCTGGGAGGACCCGGCTAGTTTCTGGAATCAGTTCCGTGTGTTGGCTGACTTGGTTGTTGTTGTTAATTGCGAAGTCGTGTCTGACCCATCGCGACCCCATGGACAACGTTCCTCCAGGCCAGTGGTTCTCAACCTGTGGGTCGGGACCCCATTGGGGTCGAACGACCATTTCACAGGGGTCGCCAAACAACGCAGTTCGCCATTTTTTTCCTCCTTTTTCTTAGCTGTGCTACTCCCTTTTATTCTATTGGCTTTTGAAAGCCAATAGAATAGACCCTCTTGAATAGAGTCTAATTCTATTGGCTTTCAAAAGCCAATAGGAATTGTCCAGGCTGTCTCTGCCCTGCTGAGCCCGCCAAAAGTCCCATTCTGCAAACGGTGCTGCACCAGTTGAGTAGTCCTCGACTTACGACCGGTTGGGGGGGCATCACGGCATTAAAAAGGTTGAGAACCACTGCTCCAGGCCTTCCTGTCCTCTGGCTGGCTAGGAGGCTGCTGCAACTGAGCCGTCTGGATACGGCTGCCGTGTAAATGCAGCAGGGAAAGAGTCTAGAGAGAGAAACATTCCTGGAATAATCTTCCTAAAGATCCGTCTTGTTTATTTTCACTTTCTTCTCCCCCTTCCACTACCCGCCCCTCCTAAAGCACAATATCCCCAGAGATTTTTTTTCCAGGATAGGCCCCATGGGATTCTGCCAGGTGAGGGGAATTCTGGGAGTTGAAGTCCAAGTGGCTGAGTCTGAGAAACTCTGATTGAAGCCTTTACATTGAGAGAAGAGTCGGATAGCCCAGATCACCTTCCTCCCCAGCTGGCTGAGGGTTATTTCTACCTTTCCTTGTGCTGACAAAGTGCAAGATGAGCATCAAAGAAGGAAAATTGGGGGGGGGGCATTTTCTGTGGAAAGTGAAGGGTGAGATTCAGAATAAATCTGGTGCATTGCAAGCATCTGGGAATGATGATTTTAGTGCCCTAATTGGGCTGCTGAAATGAAGCAAACTTGGGATAATCACAGTGGGATTACCCTGACCGGCTCAGGGTTGACTCAGCCTTCCATCCATCCGAGGTCGGTAAAATGAGGACCCAGATTGTTGGGGGCAAGAGGCTGACTCTGTAAATGACTTAGAGAGTTGCTTTCTAGGCTGGTGGTTTAGCATCTAGATCAGGGGTCTTCACACTGGGTCCTTTTATGCCTTGTGGACTTCAACTCCCAGAATGCCTCAGCCAGCATTCTGGGAGATGAATTCTGGGAGATGAAGTCCACAAGTCATCAAAGGGCCAAGTGTGAAGACCCCTGATCTAGATCAAAGTGGCTTGTACAGCTTGTAGTAGTTTTGTAACAGAGCTTGTAGCAGTTACACGTTGTTATTTCTGAGGACCTTTAATAGACTTCTGCTGATTAACAGGTTTTAGAGAAGGGTTCATGGAGAATGGGGGGAGGAATAAAGTGAAGAGTTGCTGGTTTTACTTTAAGGGAGAGTGATAAATTGTTAATCTTCATCATACTTTGCTTGGATTGAAAGCGAGGTTTTTTTCTGTCTCTTTATTTTTCTTTATTTGGCTCCTCAACCGTTCATCATATGATTTAGCCTCCAGACAAAGGTTCTCCAACGTTGGTAACTTTAAGGCTTGTGGACTTCAACTCCCAGAATTCCTCAGCCAGCAAAGCTGGCTGAGGAATTCTGGGAGTTGAAGTCCACAAGCCTTAAAGTTACCAACGTTGTGAGGACCCCTGCTCCAGACCTTTTATCATCTTTTTTTGGATCTCTCTTCCATCCGTTGCTTCCTGTCTTGCTGTCTCGTATTTTGGGTAATAAATCAATCTCCTCTGTGACAGCCCCTCAAGTAACGCCAGAAGATATCGTGTCCCCGCCCCCCCCCTCCGCCATCCTTCTCTCTCTTTGTGCCTGGACGTCTGCCTAGCAACTATGACGACATGTGAATACTTTTTTTCTATTGGTTGACCTCGCCCAATCGCTTGTCGAGTGTTGCGGTTGTTTATCAATGGGAGACGCCTCTTTCTTTGGCCGCGACTTTCAGGAAGCGGGGCGCAGGTGGAGGATCGCGGCCGGGATGGCTCTGCGCTCTGCGCTTCTCTTGATCCTGGTGGTGGTGGTGGCCGCCCTGCAGGAGAGCTGCTTCGGTGAGTCCCTTTGGGGGCCGGGGTGGGTGGGTTTTCAGGCTTTTTTTTATCTGCCAGGGAAACTTTCTCTCTCCTCCCCCCCCCCCCAAAAAAGTTTATTCCCAGAAAAAGAATCCTGATTCGGTCCTCTGTGGGAAGTCAGCCCCCCAGAGAGGGAAATATTAAAAAGGCAGAAAAATATATTTCCTCCAAGGATATTAAAGAGACAGACAAGCATGCCCAATTTTTCTTAAAAGCCCCAGGTCTGCCTCCCCCAAGTAGAAGCCAGCCCTGTACAAATGCAGATGTAAACCATCAGGAAAGTTGGGGCTAGAAGCTTAGGAAGACACCTAAAATCTGCATATCGCACCCAAACTCTAAGCGTCATTAGCCCCAGTACTAAGGAAGCAGGATATGACCTTTGGTCATAAAAGGACTAACCCATCACCATCAGAATACCAGCAAGGCACACCCAGACTCAGAATACGTGACACAGGAAATACAAAGCCTCAACACAGGAACAGGAAGCAACTTCAGACAAAAGACTTCAGAGGATATAGAAACCTACTCCTCTCGCATGTGCTCACCCTCTTTTCTCTCCTCTTTCCTGCCTGAACCATCTTTCGGTCTGGCTCTTCAATAAACTGCAACCTTCTTTCCAAAGCAGTCGCCATGTTGTTGATTTATCCCCGGCTTGGATGAACCAGGATGAAGATTTTTCCTTCAACACCTTTCTAGTCTGCTCCCTTTGGCCACTTTGACATCAGGCCCCAAAGCTGTTGCTGTGTCCCTCCCACCCCAGGAGAACAGGACAAGGGTCGCCCCTCCAGATGTCAATCAAGTCTATCTGGGCACCCCCAAAGTGGAAATTGGCATAGTTTATGTCTTGTGAACTGAGTTTGTCCTCCAAGGAAGGGCTGAAAAATGTTTGATGCTTCAGGATCAGGAGTTTGCAGGACAGAAACTGAAATAATGTTCTGTGTTTATCTTTGATTTAAAGACGGCTTTAAAGGTGACAAGAGGCTGGCTTTAGGGAGAGGAGCCCAGCTGAGTCCACCCACCCACCCACCCACCCACCCAACATGGATGATCTCAGCAGGAACTCCCAAACAGCCTCAGTGGGGGGAGGGAGTGGGGTCAGGGGGGAGAGGCCCCATGGGTTTCTGGGAGGAGGGATGAGAGGAATTCTGGGAATTGAAGTCCAGACTGAAGTCCAAGCAGCTGAGTCTGAGAAACGTTGAGTTAAGCCTTTGCACTGAGAATGCCGCATCAGCATTTCAGTTGCCC